AAGAGAGAGTGTGAGAAAGAGAAACCAAGAATGGCTCTAATATTTTTTGGTCTATTTAACACATTTGGAGGATAATTCTAGGAGATAAATTTTGGATATGTCAAGTTAAAAATGTCGCTTAGGCATATGAGTGAATATGTTGAAGAAAACTTTTACATACAGGTCTAGAATTCAAGAAAGGAAATATAATTTGAGAAGGTAATGAACTATAAATAATAAAGTTGTGAGAAAGTACAAGGTCACTGGTCCCAGGCTGTATTCTAGGGCTAGCACCAGGCCAATCCCCAATTCCTGAGGACCTAAGCCTAGCCCCACTTCAGCAGATCCATGATCCAAACCTACCTCATGTAGACTTTGGAGCCAGGTCAGAGTACAGGGTCTGAGACTCCAAGACCAGTCCTACAGGTTCTGTTTCCAGACCAGTCCTACAGGTTCTGTTTCCAGACCAGTCCCCATAGACCCAAGATCTTGACCTGAGGACTAACTCCAGGTTCACCCCAGAATATGTCAGCCCTTGTAGACACAGACTTCACAATGGCCTCCACATACACAGGCTCCAGATATCCTCTTATAGACCATGTTTCAGGACCACCTCTTCAGATCCAAACAGCAGGTCCAACCAGGAGATACAGGCTTCAGGTCCAATATTTCAGATCCAGGTACCAGGTCACCCACCTGCTAACCCAGGCACTAGCTGAGTCTGCCCAAGGACTCCAGCAGTAAACTTTTCTTCAGATATGCTAGACAGCCTGTCCAGAATCTCTGGACTGGTTGACTAATGAAGGGATTTCCCAAACAAGGGGAGACTGCAAAAACCATATTAAGTCCCTACTCCTTCACATGTGCAGACATTGGTGTAATGCAACAAGAAACATGAAAAATCAGGAAAACAATACCCTCAAAAGAACACAGTAATCCCCCACTAGCTGACCCCAAAGAAACGGAGCTATAGAAACTGCATGACAAAGAATTCAAAATAACTGTATTAGGCTCTGTGAACTTAAAAAAAAATACAAAGAATTAATTCAATGAAATGAGAAGTAAATGACCAAACTGGAAATGCAAAAGAAATTGAAATCATAAAATTATTTAAAAATCAAAATCAAGTGCAGAGAGAAAATAAATCCAAGAGCCAAGCTTCCCAAGATTGAAAGTTTAAGGAGATTAGGAAGAACTAGAAATAAATCCTGAGAAGGCATGGTTAATGGCATCAAATAAATCATTAATTAAAAGAGACCAGGGAATCCTACAGTTTAGTTTTCTTCAGTTACTTTCATGTATGGAGATGCAGGGACTGAGCAGATGGAAAGCTAGCTTTAATCAGAGTTCTGTTTTCATCAATGGATAGAGGAAATTTAGTAGTAGGATGGCAAATTGAAAAGTTACCCAAAAAAGCAGTAATCACTGGGAATCTGATATTTATCTAGATAAGAAGGGGAAATGTAATATGGAAAAGAATGGTGATAAATGTGACAGTATCAATAGACTGATAGTACCAATAAGGTTGAAAGATTACTAGAATTATAATACTAGAAGAAATAGTCTGGAAGATGGAACCTGGTGGTTAGAGAGTCAGATGTGAGAAAATTAAAATTGTATTAAGTTTTCATAATTAGTGGTATTGACAAGATTAAGGAGTGAACATGAGAGTTAGTGTCTTCCTGGAGATAAGGAGCTTAAGTACTGAGAGGCCACATGATTAAAAGAGGGGTGATTAGATGATGGTAGTGTTAATAATAGTATTATTTAATAGACTCCCTTTTATTTTTCAGTACAATAAAGTGTTGGCTTGCAATCTATAATTTTCACCATATTGTAAAGAAAGTACTAAGGTATAGATGAGATAGATAATATGCTTAAGGATATACTGGAAACAGGTCATTACTAAATCTTTCTGACTTAAAAGTTTATATTCTCAGTCTCTATTTTATTTTAGTGATACAAGAAACTCAAACTATCATGACTGATCCTTTTCAATAACAGAGAAATATTTTTATTGGCATGCAAAATAATTATTCTTTCACAAGACTAAAATCTCTTTCAAAAAACATAAACCAAGTTCCTGAAGGTGAGTTAAAAAAATAAATAAAAATAACTAGTAAGGGGCTGGAGTTGTGGCTAGGTAAGAGCACTTACCAAGCAAGTATGAGGCACTGGGTTTGATCCTCAGCACCACATAAAAATAAATAAATAAAGGTATTGTGTCCATCTACAACCAAAAATATTTTTAAAAATAACTAATAAAAATTTTTGGTCTAGCAAAAACATATAACTAACAATGACATAAGAAAAATCCAAATGGAGACAAATTTATTTTCCTTACAATTCTATGTTCTTTTGACAGTGACACCATAATAGATAACAAGAAATTGATGGATTACATGACAATTGTACATGATACTAACCTGAAGAGATTAGAAAAGGAAGGGATATGGTGGTAATAAATTTAATGCCATAAATACATAAAAGTGAACAGAAAAGTGAGCTCTAAAGTCTGAAAGACTTAATTTTTCAATATTTCCTTGGAAAATTAGCATGCTATCTTATTCTTAGGATTCACAATATAATAATCCCCAGTAAGGATGAATTGATAAGGAATTTTTATTAAATACTATTGGTCCCTTTTGTATCTAGATCTGTATCTAGATCTGTATATGTATGTGTGTGTATATATGTGTGTGTGTGTGTGTGTATATATATATATATATATATATATATATATATATGATTTTGCTAAAGCAATAAAAAGTACTGTTTGGAACCAAATAGAAATTCAGATACTTTGTGAAATGTGATTTCCTGACTGCTATTACTGACTACCTCCTGATAATTGATTGCAGAATATATACAGGGGGGGGGGGAAGAATGTCTATGTTTGATTTTATTTCCTTACAAGTAGATGAAAAAAAAATCTGTCAAATAATTGTACAACATTACCTGCTGCTTCATTCCATCATCCTAAGAGAATAATACCATACAGACAAAATAAGAGGTCACAAATATGTACTTAAAATAGAAGCAAATAAAGCCTTTTCTTTTTTTCCACATGTGTATATTTTGGAATTTTTATCACATGCAGGGGCAGGAATATTTGTTAGGGAAATCAGTTTCACAAACACCCACTACTCAAGCTCCTAGTTAACTGTGCTTTACCCAAACTGGAAGCCAACATTAAGGACTGAGGTTATGCTTTTTTATAAAGTTTTAGGCAGCTTCTACAACATACTGTGCTTGACTTAAGAAAAATATCTAAGTAATATTTTTGCCACAACATAAAGGTATTTAATATTTTTAGCATGGATCAGTGTTCATGAGAAAGGCTTACAGTTCTTTTTATCTTAGTCATTGCATTAAATTTGTTTTTCTTTATCTGAAAGTGCCAAATTAATTCTATGTAGATATTTTGTACATATTTTAAACTAATTGTGAAATATTTCTGGTGCCCCAGGAGGCATTTGGAAGGTTAATGACAACCTCCAAGTGTTCAAGGACTTCCTAAATGAAGTTATTAAAATTCAACCCTTTGCATATTCCAGATGGAGGGGGAAAAGTCTGTCAGAGACAACAAGGGACAAAGAACACCAAGGGAGGTTTTAAAAAATTCCTATTTCTAGGGGCTGGGGATATGACTCAGTTGGTAGAGTGCTTGTTTAGCATGCACAAGCACAAGTCCCTGGGTTCAATCCCCAGCACCACCAAAAAAAGGGGAAAAAAAATCCTATTTCCAGATCCAGGTTTGCTCTTTGGAAGAGGATAGAAATTTTAAACATTGATTAAGACTTGTTTCAACAGCAGCTTCTGTAGCCCGGTTCTTGCCCCAAAGTCAACTTAGCAGCCATCTGTTGTTTGTGCTACATAGATTTTAAAACTGTCACTGCCAAAACACATACTGTTTTATATTTCTTCAATATCACAACAGCTTACCCAAATTGGAATAGATTTCAAAAGTTTTGAACTTACTGTATGTTTTTTTTTTCCCTCCTAGTATACCAAAAGGGTACCTTCACTGCTTTAGTCTATAGATGATTCTTATATTTCTTTATCATTGTCAATTATTGACCTGAACATTGGATTACTAAGTGGAAGACCAGAAAAATTTGAAATATCAAACCCATACGGTGATTCTTATTTTGTTCCCTTTTGTTCACTATCCGGATTTCTAATATTGTATTATTTACAGAAGCTTTTTACTCATCGTGTAAAGAGAAGAGAAAAATCTGAAGTAGATCAGAGTTGTATTGAATGGTTTTATTCCTTTTCGGCCTTCTAGGAATGCACACTCATTTCCTGGCATGCTGAGAAAATATACAGATCACTTCTATTTAGTGCTTCTAATCAAATCACTGATTGCATGAGAGGTGAAGCCAAAGCAAAATGACATGAACAAAGAGAGTGCTGTAGTCATCAAACAAAGCATATTCTAATCAGCATAATTCAAAGCTGTGGATCATCTGTTAGTTGTTCATCGTTTTCAAAAATCCATCACTGCTTCCATAGAAGCTTTCCAAAGTACTACCCTGTCCTTCTAGTAACTGAAAAGAGTCTACGTGTAATTATTACTACTTTAACAGCTTAGCAAAGCTGTGTTCCTTTAAGAATTTTCTACATAACTGCTAATGTAAATTAGCTTTGTTATTCTGCAGACTTATCCCACTCTCAACAAACAACAGATAAAACAAGTGTAATAAAAATGCTGAATATTTGTGAATATTTACACACAGCACAGGAAATACAATATATCTGGTATAATTCTATCAGAGAAAGGTTATATAGGCCTGGTTGATCCTCATTATTTCCAGATTCTTTACTTGCAAATTTGCTGCCCAGTAAAATTTATTTATAACCCCCAAATCAATACTCACAGTGCTTTCACAGTCATTGGTGGGTATGTGCAAAGTGAAGAATTTACACTGCCTGAGATATATGTTGTCAGTAGAGGCAATGCTCTGCTTTCTTAGTACAACTCTCATGCTACAAATGTGTCTTTTTCATGCTGTATGTTATGCCACAATTTCTTTTTCTTTTTTTTTTTTTTTTTTTTTTGCTTTTTGTCTTGGTGAGTCTACTATTTAAAAGAGCACCTAAGCATAATGCTGAAGTACTTGTTAGTTTTCTTAAGCACAGGAAGGCAGTGAGTTGCCTTGTACAGAAAATATATTAGTTAGATGAGTTTCATTCAGGACTAATTTATCTTGTTTGGCCATAAGTTCAATGTTAGTGAATCAACATTATAATTAAATCAGATATCAAGGAGACATAGCCTGATGACTCAGCTATGTGTTTCTATGTTAGTAATATGGCACCTCCTGTTTCTTTACTAATATGTATCATGATTTCAATTAAAAAGGAAACATATAAATAGCTATTTTATATTCTGAAAACAGTGTCTTATGGCTCCATATGACTTCCCGAGGGCCACACCAGTGTTTTGCACACGGTAGATGCACAATGTATACTGGTGAAATAAATAAATAAGTGAAACTATTAAAAGGTTTTTCTCTCCAGCTGTGACACTGAATTTTCTGGACATACTTTCCTCTGGTGACCATAAATACTTGAGTAATAAATGTACAGGACCAGTTTCTGCCATCATTGTGGTCTTACCTTAGGGTTAAAAGTATGAACCATATTCCTGCAGGATATACTTCTAACTAGCTGGGCAAATTCTTGCTTAAGGACAGCCACCTACATTAATCACTTGAAAACCTCTCTGAAATAGTGCAATTACTCTGCCAAAGGCACTAGTATTAGAATAATGAAACAAGTACTTAAAGTGTATTTGATAGACATGATACATCAAACTTGTCATTCACAGCATGTGAAAATATGAAATTTAATTTCTATTTTACAAGACCCTTTAAGAATAGTTAATTGAACTATTGTTAAATCTTCAATCCTAATATAAATGTTTTCAGGGAGAGTAGCAAAGCTCCTTTTTATAGAAGAAACATTCATAGGAAGTTTTCAAAACAACAATCGCAAGTCAGTATTCCATGCTCCCCTCAGTAGGACCTTTTAGGAGCTCAATTTCACATATATCTACCCTCTATCCCAGAGTTAAAGAAGAAATTACTCAATAAGAACATAAAAGTAAGTCACAGAACAAGAGGGAGAATCAAAAACCCAAACCTGGGTGCTGCCCAAATCATGCTCTATTATTGACTGCTCCATTAGGGACATGAGCCACAAATAGCTCATACCACAGTCTACATCACAAGCCCCACTGACTCTGAACATTGATGCTACTTTTATGCCAATGGATTATGGATTATCTATAACCATTTCATCTGAATGTATTCCAGGACGTATCTGATTCTTCCCATCAGTAGTTTCTAAATCAAAACCAACCTGTTGCACTGAATTGTTAGGCCTGGGTCATATGTCTGTGTCCATAGTACAAGGAATTCTGAGAAATTGAATATTTGTGACTTTGTCCTTAGGAAGATGGGAAATGATAAAATTAGGAATTCTCTGAACTGGATTTTCAAAGGATGACCCAAATGAATGACCAGTGCCCACTTCATTACTCAGGAGAAGGCCTGGGGGAAATGCCACAGCATATATAAATAAAGGCCTTGGAATTTATTTTAGGAATGACTACTGACCTACTTATATTTCTTGCTTTACCCCATTTCCCAATTTTATTGGCACAGTTTGCTCTGTTTCTCTTGTTCCTTATCTGTGGTTTCATTGCATAATGGATAATACCAAGAACAGGATGGCAACAAGCACTATAATCAAAACACTGTTGTTGGAGGGCCATGAATGAATTATGGGTTTGTCTCAGCCATCTCAAGGCGAGGGGTTACTTTGGTGAGAACTCTTACTGGAGACTGCTCAGATTATGCTGAACCCCTGGCTCATTGGCTCACACAGCCCTAAGTGCAAACGCAGCACAACAGCCGGAAGTAGAGGAGGTGGGCATAACCTGCTAACCCCTAACTACCTTGTCTTTGCCACCTTCTTCCTGTTTCTTTCAGGAAGTTCTTCACTCTGAATCCTACTGGTGCTCCCACCTATTTAAATAAAGCGCAAGGGCTGTATTTTGCTGTTAGATCCAGTCTCTACCAGAGCTGGATCATCCCACTGGGCCTCGCTTTTCACTTATTTCTGTGTCTTGTCTTCATTTCTTAAATTTCTCATACCTTTAATATTTCTAATCTGACTCATGGCCCTAGTTCAAGGAAACTGAGTAAACGTCCTGATACACTGTAATTTCCTATAATTCAAATTTTGGTTTAATGATAGTCACCCTGACCAGAGGATTATATAAAACACACACACACACACACACACACACACACATTCTCTCTTTTGTGATTTTACACAAGAAGAAACTGAAATTCCAAGGTTAAGTTTTAAAAAGCCTGAACAAACAAGTGGCAAAGTCTCAATTTCAAAGCTGAGGTTTTGAAGCTCATTATCTTACTTAAAATACTCTGCTGCCTCTCATTGGACTAGTAAGTCATTAATTAAGCCTTTTGAGATTCCAGGACTATCCATATCTAAATTCCACTCTAGGTATCAACTTCCACAAGATGCACTTGAGACTTCTGGGTGGCTACTAAACACTGTATGTCATTAGGCAACAGAGTGTCTGAATACCATATGTGCTTTTGGGCACATAATGTATGCCAAAAGGTATAAAGTATCTAAATGAAAGGTTATACATGAGTGATTAGTAAAATCCCACACATGCTTTTACTTTTAAAAAATAATATATTAATCTCTTGAAAAAGAGTTCAATAGTAAGGCCCTATTGTCTCTTCTGTAACCTTCTTTCTTCTGGAAATAGTATCATCCTTCCATTAGAGAACTCCTCTACTCAGGCTGCCAATGTTAGTCCCTCCATGATCCTCTGCCTGCAGGCACCAGCAAACCAGGCCAGGTACTCTTTATATTCCCTAGAATTTGCCAGAGTGAAATATAGAGAAAAGGGACAGACTTTGTCAAGATAAATTTGAGCCTGAAACATGAGACTGAGATGCCCGCAGTTATTTTCCTTATGCTGGGGAAAGATACCAAAATAAATAAATGAAGCTGCCCTTCCAGAAGAAGAAAGAGGCAAGAAAGCAACATACTGAACAAATAGAATCACTGGTGCTAGTTGACCTGGAGGACAGTGATATCTGTTCTTCTCCTCTGTATATGTGAACATTTCTCTAGGCTGAAGGGTATTTGAATCAGGTTACAGTCATTTGCAATAATAAACGCAACCACATAAATAGTTTCTTTTATAAATCAATAAGTGAAAGATTCACGGTCTAAGGCACATATGTTAGTCAGAAAGCATTTTAATAAAAATTTAGTAAAAACTATGATATTATTTGCAGTATATTATCAGCCCCTCTGTAGGCAAAGAATTTTCTGGAACAGTTTCAAAGCCCTAAGCATACTTCTAATATGTACTTGACCCTTGCCTTGTCTTGGGATGGATGAAGGACATTTAATCAGAGAAATCTCCTGGGATATGATTTGTTCTCTGTACTGTGTTTTGAAGTGCCCATCTCTCTCACTTTTACACCTATGAAAACTGTCAAGGATGACATCTACTACAACTGCTTTTTTCATTTTAGATATTAAAGACTCTCTCTTCTCCAGCGGAGATCTGATGAAGTACCCCATGTGCACACATTCTTATGATATTCTAAGTTGACTAAAGACATCTCATAGCCTATTCCAGCACCTGTGTAATAATTCACATAAGTCATATGGTAGTTATCCAACAAAGATTTCCTCTTATGATCAATACATCCTAGGTTCATCTCTATAATAATCTTCAGAAACTGAATAAGCATTGTTTAATTATTCAATGTCTGGAGTAGGAAAGGGACCTCCACTGTTAGCCATGCCATGTGTAACCTGGCTGCTGCAGAAGAGAAGAAGGTGCTCACACTGTTTCTTCCAGGAGGTGTGCAGGGGTTACCTGTCCTTCCACTCAAGTTTAATCAGCCAAAACTAGTCACTTGATCTCATTCTAAGGGGATAAAACGTTGAGCATGATAGTTTTTGCCACACCATACCTTATTTCCTAGGAAAAAATTAGCAACATTTATTCTCATGTTAAAAACAAACAAACAAAACCGACTAAATAAACAAATAAACAAAACAACGAAATGGCATAGATACAGGAAGTCAAGACTGCTTACATAGGATTGTCCAAGTATACCTGCTGGGCTTTCTGGCTTTGTAAAGTTAAGAAGAAAGCCGAATCTATCTCAAGCATGGGAATGGGAATGCACTTTTTTTTAATTGCTACTAAGAGCAGTATTGAATCATTTTAATAGTTTCTCTCAGTCTACAAAATATTTAAAGCACAAAACATAATAATATAGTGACCTTATTTAAATTTTAAAGAGAGCAAAAAAATATCTGGTACATATTAGGCCACCAACCTGCTATGCTAAATCTTTTTGCTTCTTGGCCTTCAGTAAAATAAGCTCAGTGGTCTAATGCTCTACTCCCCTGTGTACTGTGGTCCATCATAAAATCTTACTTTAGCACAACTGGCAATCGGTGCTTACATAAAACAAAAGAATAAATTTCCAGGCAGAAAAAAAGCTAATTCTGCTCTCCAAAATAGCTGATTCTTTCAAAGCAGAATAGATATTACCAGAAAAACTATAAGAGACACAGGTAGGCCAAAGTGTGAACTCAGTACTTGTGCAGGTAACCAACCATACTTAGATCCCCATTCAACAGAATAGCAGACAAACACCACATTAAAAGATTATCCTATGTAATCACTGTTTACAAAATAAATCCCTGTTTCCATCTAAACAATGTAGAAAGTTTAAATTATAATATGTTTTCTACTGCTATTTGGCACTGTATTAATAGGGTGACCACTTTGCTTGACCTATTTGCTGAAATTTGCTAGAACTCCAGGAGACCATATGGATAGCCAGATGGGTTGCTGTAATTTAGTGCCATTATTCTAAGGATAAAGTAAGAAATCAACATAATTTGCATTCTTTTCCATCGTTCCTGCTTACCTTTTATTAGTTTCATTTTTAATTCAGACATCAAAAGAAAAGATAATACCTTGCTACCAAGGCCCAGATGCCAACTAATTACTACAAGAGACTCCAGCCCTGACATCACAGGCCAGGCCTGAGAACATGCTCCATCTTACTCAATGACCCCACCATAGTGATTAATAGGTTGAGCGCTAAGCCCTAATGAGTGTGTCAGATCTTAAATGTTCTCCAGGCTAATGTAATTAGCATTATGTTGAACAGAATATTTCAGTTGCTTGGTAGAGAGTCATTATACTTCATAGTAAGTGATGTGCCTTTTCACCTCAAAGACCTCATATGGTCTTCAAATTTATAATCATCAACCAAAAAGGCCTCTCTAACATGAAGATATTTCAAAACCTACAGAGAAATATGTAAATATTTTTCAATCAAGCATTGATGTTTTCTATAGCAGTAAACCCATACATTATACATAAAGTGAGATGATTTTCAATATACTTGTTTAAAAATACAAGTTTCTGGACTCTACCAACAAAAATTCTGGTATGAGGGGGTTGAGGATAAGGCCTAGAATTATATATTTTTATCAAGAGACCCTGTATTCCCAAACAGAAAAATCTATGGACTGCCCTTGGAAAAAACACTGCAATCTGAGTAGCAGAACTAATAACCTGCACTTTAGAGTAACTGAATCTATCAGGCTTTTTTGTTCTAAATGGTTATTTGTGTTTCTGAAAAAATCATGCACACTCATAACAAAGACTGTTTTCACATTGGGATTATAGCTTAAAATGTGCAAATTAATTTTTTAGAAGATTAAAAACTACCAGGATAATACATTAATTTTATTTCCAACAAGCCATGTAAATGCATGAGATCTAGATCAGATGGTAGATATAGCAGTTATAACCATCTCTACCCACTAAGCAAAGAATCTGAAACTATATTTCCAGTTTTAAGGGAAAGAAAAAAGCGTAGCAAAATTTCTGAAATCCTCAACTTTCTTCCATGATCACAGATGACATACCAAATGTTTTGGCCATGATAACTGAGGAGTTTGGAAAATACTCCAAGTACTAGGATCTCACCTAAATATTACCATCATCAATTACTACAAACTAAATATTTTCACATGTTTAGCGTTGCTTTCTTGAACTACTGGAAGCAAATATCTGTCAATTTTTAACTTAGATGAATTTTATTCATCTACTATCCTAAATAGTTTAAGGCAACTTTTTAAAAATTTGTAACTACCAAACTACCATTTTATTTATGAATTTCAATAAATATTTTTTGGACCTTTTTGAGTTTTTACTATACATTTAAAAAAAGAAAATAAATGTATAAATAAAAGGAAAAAAATTATTTATGACAAATATAATGCAGGTATTTACTTATCATTTCATACCAAGTTTTAGTGGTTTGAGGAAATTAAAATTATATTTTATAGTGATTTAAACTCATATCATTCTCCATTTCTATGATGCTTTTATATTCAGCCAGGGAGTATAAGGCTGTTATATGTCCATGGCAAGTCCATAAACCCATTCTCCTTTTGTTTATGAAAAATGATTGGTGAGGTATAAAGTTCAGTCCAGCAATAGCTGGATGCATGCAGCTCTGAGTTTTCCTCTGGAATGCTGGCCTTTCCCATAGTCCCTAAATCTAGGTAGGGAAGTTTTAAGAGTTCTGACCCATGGGATGTATGCATAAATGAAGTTTATGATCATCCATGCTGTCTACCTTTGTTTTGTCCAGCAAACAGAGAAGATTGAAAGAATAATCTACAAAGACTTATAATGGCATAGCCACAAGATGAAACACTGCTTGAGTAAGAAATAAATCTACCTTGCCTTAAGCCACTGAGACTTTGTGTTTGTGTGTAAAAAATTAAGTCAAGTCTTAATTTAATAACATCAATTTTTGTCTCACCTATAAGTTTAGTCATCAATTTGGACAACATAAAATTAAGAATATAATAGGACCTGAAGTCCAATTAAATTCAATAAACTGATGTTAAGTCACTTAGAAGATTCTTTTTACATTGTATTTAAGAGGGGGAGGGTTAGGGCTGTAGATCAGTGGTAGAGCGTGCGCTTTGTACATGTGAAGCACTGGGTTCGATCCTTAGCACCACATAAAAATAAATAAAGGTATTGTATATTTAAGAGGGGATTGAAACACTACATTCCTTTATATTAACAGCTTTTGGAGCTCAAGTTAAGATGACTTGTGTGTTTTTCTAGCAGAGCATTATGAAAGAACACCTACCCTCTGGCTGAAAGAACAAAACCCAAAGCACAATATTTCTTGTCCTTTTTCATAAAAAAATACCATTGCTAAATGCTTACAGCAACTGTACAAAAGAGATTCTTAGAAAGGGTTTTAGATGCAGATTTTCTTATTGACATGTCCAAATAGCATTCTGAAGATACCACTTGATATTAAAATAAAAATACATCAGTTTAACCTACGTAGTCTCATGCTGTATCAATCTAAAATTATTGATTAACAAAAAAATAAAAAACACCAATATCAACATATGTGTGTATGCCCACATCTCACACACACACACAGTAGGATTATTTCAGGATTTTTTTACATTGATAGTGCAATGAAAAGATAACATCATTAAAATTAATTATTATGTCATTGAACAAATGACCTTGGTGGATGTAGTACATAAGTCACTACATTGCAAGGAAGGAAAAAACATTGCATTGGGCTTGCAGAAGGCCTGGGTTAGCTATGGCTCTGTCGTTTTCTAGATGAAAAGAAGAAGATACGAGAAAGGCAGAGAATACAGTGATTAAATATTTGAAGTACCACTTTTATCAGCCACTAGTGAGATGTTTGACTCAGTAAAGCTATTTTATCTCTCCATTTCTTCATCTAGAGAGAGAAAATAACATTTATTTCATAGGTTAAGAGGATTAACTCATACCCTGTATATCAAGTGATGAGGGAGGCCTTGGCTGAAACTAAATATTAATAAATATTGGGCAAATAGCAATAATGTTATATCTCTGTCAGTAAGAGCCACATCATCTTTACTTCTAAAATTTAAAAAATGATACTAATTTATATGATTTGTTTAAATTCTTATATTCTGAGTCCATAATTGTATCTTGCAGTTAAATATCCATTTGGAAAATGAAAACTCTAAAATCCATGTATTTTAAGTAATGGCTTTAAAAAAATTTGTAAGTCAGTCTGGTCTGCTAGTGAGACTGATTTAAAGATGACAAGCCACATAAAAATGTACTAATTCCATTTTTTTTAACATTCAGAAGTGAGATGATATTTTGATATATTCATTATTCTTCATGACTCAAACCCATCATTAAAATATAGAATATAACAACATGTTATTAGGCAACCATTTAAATAAAAAATATGTCATATTTAATGAGAACAATAATAATAAGGAATTGTTTCTTACCTGATTCTGAAAGACTCCAGAATGTGAATAACACTCCATTTTTGCAGTGTAAGGTAAAGTATTTTCAGGGCTTATGAATTGTCAGCAACTTAAACAAGTTTCCTTCTCATTCAAAAAAAAAAAAACAAAAAACAAAAAACAAAAACATTTCTCCCAGCTAGACCAATAATAAGAAATGATACCAACACTAGTGCAGCTTTTATTCCAATCTAAATAGAAAAGTATTTACCTTGGAAATCTCATAAGTTAGTAAATTTTGATTTTTACAAATAAATTTTCATTCAAACAATGCCAGAGGCTCAAAATGAATAGTTTTAGATACTGGATTAAAATCATTTAAAATTTCTTAGTAATACTTTTGATTGTTTGTGACTGTACCATGAAAACAGGGCTTTAATATATACCAGGAATCAAAGTGTGAAATATGATATATCAAGAAATATGTAATGTTTTGAACAACCAACAATAAAAAATTTAAAAAAAAAAGTAATATATACCAGGATACTGCATATAAATCACACAGTAGAACTGTGGCATGAAGGAATTGTTTTCTTAATCCAGAATTCTACTTAATCCAAGACAAGAACCTTACCTCCTGCATACATAACAGCCAGCATAATGGATGATATCCATGCGATTTCACTGTACGTGGTGTGGAATATTTGCTGAATTTCTTTGAAGAATACTGTGACGGCTTTGGGGAAGGCATATGAAAATCCAATGGAGATAAAAGATGCTCCAACCACAACCCAGCCCCATCCTCCATCAGGAGGTGGGTATAAAGGTGGGGAACTTGGCATTGGTGGCATTTCGCTCCTGTATTTCAAATTCAAGTAACCTATATACACACAAAAAAATGAATAACAGTTTAACCTTATTTGCATTTTTGTATGTCACTCTTGCTAGTTACTAAAATAGTACTTCCCAGTTACAACTACAATACAATTTTTCATGAATATTTTATACTCATGAATTCAGAAAATCTATGAAAAATAATATGAAGTATATAACCTGGACTACTATAAACTAAAAATTGAAAGCATTTAATTTACGGGACAAAAATTTATTGAAGTGAAGTTAAGAATTTAGATCTAAATCAACCAAACAACAAAAACTATTTCAATTTTATTTCCAAACATAAAGAAAATGAAACTGCAACCACTTAAAATACTTTTTATATTCAAAATATTGACTTTAAAATTGTGTATACAAAGTTTTCAAAGGACTAGATATTAAATACAAAGAATTATAAAATATTTAATAGGCATACTCTGGAATTTTTCTATTTTTAATAAGTGATAGTTTGTAAAATCATTTCTGTCTGAATCTGTTTTCTAAACTAATAAACTAAAAATTATATGCTTTTGTGGAATTATACTAGTTTTAATATACTTCCAGAACTGGTGCTACCTACCATTTTATGAAAGATACATAAAATAAAATCTCCAAAATAAATTTGTTTGTTGAGGCTTTAGAACATCCACTTTCCCATGGAAGAAAGTAATATAATATTAAAACTACATGATTAAATTAAAAATATTTGGTTCCCTAGTTTGTTGGTTTGTTTTTGGAGAGTGATGCTGCTTGCTTAGTTCTTGGAAATATACAATTGCCACTACTTTAAATATCTTCTTTAGACTGAAATAAAATATCTTCTATATGTAGATATTCCTTAATTGAAAGGTAAAGGGTAAATCAGAAATAAGTGAAAAAAAAGTGCTAATTTTGCCACACATTTTCAGAAAATCTAGCTTGTAAAATGACCTATTGTTATTTCACTTTTGGATGATTGTGAATATGGTCATAACTTTCTTTTTTGCCTAAAGATTCATATTTAAGGTGCAAATTAAGACATTTTAATATGCATATACAGAGTGAACTGATCATTACCTTCAATTTAATTAACATATCTCCTCATATAGTTACCATTTTTCATTTCTGTATTTGTTTTTTGTTGTTTTTGGGAACACCTAAAAGCTATTCATGTCACAAATTTCCAGAATACATACAGTATTATTAAATACAGTCATTGTGTTGTACGTTATACAATAAACTTATTCACTCTTTAAACTTTAAACTTATTCAGTCTTCATGGGGACAGTTGGATGATTTGGATGTTAAGTATCTCCTAAAGATTCACATTGTAAAGGCTTCATTGCCAGCCTCTGGTGGTAATGGGAGGTGGTTGGATCTTTAAGAGGTGGAGCCAAGTGGAAGGAAGTTAGTCAGTGTGGGTGTGCCCTTGAAGGAGATATTGGAAGGTTCTTTTTTCTTTTCTTCCTGGCTGCCATGAGGTGAGCTTCATTGCTCCACCATATATTCCTTGTCATATGTTCTGCTTTACTATGGACTCAAAGCTACAGGACCAAGTGACCAAGGAGCCATGGGTTGAAGTCTCTGAAACCATGAATCAGAGTCAAAGCAAACCTCTCCTCCTTTTACATTGATTTTCTCAGGTATTTTGTCATGGTGATGGAAAACTAACAAATAAGTAAATAAAATAAAACGCTTTAACCACAAACTGTGCATACAATGCATATCTTGATCAATCATGATCATCAGGACAAAAACACTTCTATCAAGTTAATACTTTATATTAACGTAATATTTATCAAAGATGCTAAAATTTTCAAAAAGCAACCCAAAATACCACAACTTATCAATAATTATTTTTTAAAAAATATGAATGTTAGCAGTATATTTATACTCTGCTTTTATAATCATTTTTCTTTCTTGGAAACAATTAAAATTATCCATCTTTTTTCCTATAGTATTTATTTCTCCTTACTCATCAATTTATAATACATGAGGACTAGAAATAATTTCTTTAAAAATCATTAACACTAAGGGGAAAAATAAAAAAGAAAGAGGTGGATTTTATGTATTAGTTAAATAAGCTAAAAATGGCAATTGGCCTTTGAAAGTTGTCTAAAGAATCTGAATCAACAGATTACTAAATTTTATTGTATTTTAAAGTATCCAGTTTTCTTACTGCTTGTCAATGGAAAAAAATTATTTTTGGAGAAATACTGAAGAAATACCAAATGACATTTGTATGGTAACTACTGTTTATTGTAGAGTGTAAAAACAATTAACAGACTTAAAAATGTTATTTAGTAATTTTCCTGCTTGCATAAAAGAAGCTAATCCACCTTTCATTATTAATTCATGAGTATAAATTTTTGTAGTTTTTATCACATCTGCTATAGTAAACACTTAGAAATTCAACTGGGTGATTCATTTTTTTAGTGACTTCAAAAGTCATAAATCCCAGCTAGATGCGATGGTGTATGCATGTAATCCCAGCAGCTCCAGAGGCTGAGACAGGAAGATCATGAGTTCAAAGCCAGACTCAAAAAAAAGTGAGGTGTTAAGCAACTCAGTGAGACCCTGCCTCTAAATAAAAATACAAAATAGAGCTGGGGATGTGGCTAAATAAAATGTGGCTAAGTGCCCCTGAGTTCAATCCCTGGTAACCCCTCTAAATAAATAAATAAATGGTAGTTGAATTTGAATGTGAAATGTCAGTCTTTTTGCTAATACTGAATAATTTTAGGGCTTCAGAAAAATAACAATAGACCTTTTTAATATGATGCTTTCTATGTGCCCTTCCAGATTACACCTGCTCTCTAAGAAACAACTATTCCAAATTATATGAGAAGCTTTAAATTAATCGTATTTATATTTTTACAATATATGTATTTGTGCATGTGCTATCTAGTGTATATATTCACAAACTCATATGTAATATATGAACTAAATATTTTATATTTTATGTAAAATTTTTATTATAGAATATATATATAAGTCCAACAGGCAAAATTTAATAGTAATTTAATGAAGGCATTATATATAAATCTATGTTTTTATTCTATATATTACATACAAATATTTACACATTCATAGATTCATTTATAAGTATTCTCAGAAATAGATTTTTGATTTAATATTATAATTTTACATGTAGACAATATTCTTAAAGGTTTTTTAATCTGATGTTTTGGAGTATAGAGGATTCTTATTATTCATTGGAGATATGTTCTATGATGTTATCTTGAACCCAGTATTAGCAAATTCTGAACATTTGCTTGTAGAGGAAATATGGGATTGAGTTTATATGCGACTCCAATCACATTTTCATCAATCAATATATAACCTCATTGATGTGTATTTCCACTTAAAGATGCATCCTTTAATACATACTGTTCATGTATTAGCACCAAACTGAAGGTCAATGGCATTGTAAATCATGCCTGAATGAGGCTTATCTAACACAAATGTTTTCTCTGTAAGGTGTATCCCAGGCTTCTGGCATTGGGGAACATCAGAAGCACTCTGGCAGGTCATTTTAAACTGCAAATTCACTAACAAAGAGGCATAAAAATGTAAAACATGTGGCATTAAGTAGATTGCACAAAGGTTACATGGTTACAGTAGGTAACTGAAACAAGAAGGCAGAGTGGTGCCTGGAATTTAAAATTTAAAAACATGAAAAATGGAGATGGTAAAGAAAAATAAAATCACCCACAGTCCTAACACTGAACTAAACTATTACAAATATAATTGTGTTGCAAAATTGGAAATGACAGTTTCAAGTTCTATCAAAATTCAACCTACCAACATGTAACCAATAGAAAAACAAATAAAAACTTCCAACTGGTTTATGTATTCATAAATATTTTCATGATCAGATGATGATTCTTCTGAATCACTTTTTGAATAATAATTTTCAATGATACTGAGATACTTTCCCCTGGAGTATCAAGAGCATTTCTACAGAGTGCCCCATCAATATCACCAGCAATTTCTTTCAAGCTACTCAGGATATTTTACATTTTGACCCCAATATTTTCTTGATCTTAACAGAACGTATCAACAGAAGATATTAAGGAAAAATAAAAAAGAAAGTAGAACTTATATTTCTTTATCTAAATGGCAATAAAAGGTTTATTGACTCAAATATGAAGGAATTAAAATTGACCAATCACCAATTGACTATGCACCAAATTTATATATGCATACAAGACCCTGTCATGATTGTCACTTTGGCAAAACTGATGGTAATATGCCACCCAGTGCAAGACATCCTCACTTCAAAGATGTGAAGCGATGTGTTTCTTGAAATTGATGAAATAATGAATACAGCAAATATTTACACTTTTATATGTATGTTCAATATGTATTTTAATGTATATAAATTTAATGTACATAAATAAATGTGCTACATATAGATACATTTCTATCATTTGAATTTCTCATTTATTATTTTTAACTCCTAGATACATAGCTACATGACCAGTTTTAACAGTATTTTGTTAGTTACTATTGCCCATGTAATTTTGCTAAACCTAGGGATGGTAGATTGTTCATTGTATCCTGATATTCTAAATTATATTTCAGTAAGTACTTTTTCCCTGCACTTCTTATTTCAATCTAAACCATAGGAAAATATAGTTTTTTCTCCAAATTTCTCATTCTTTCAATTAATAATTTTGAAACCTCTATAAAATTGTTACCTTCAAATAGCATTTCTAATGGTTTATTCAATGTATGTCTTTGCCATTAGTCCAAGATAACAAGCTGTTCACTGTATCTCAAGTTCTCAGCATTGTTTTTGATGTGTAGTAGGACACTTTTAGTTGTAACTACTTGTGCTTGGAAAGAAGTTATTTTACCCATTGTACCACCTGCTGTAATTTTCTCTCTGTAATTATAATTTTAGCTTTAAAAATGAATTTGTTCACTTCCAAATAACAATGAGATATAATCTGTTGTTTTGCCATAAAATAAGTTAAATATATAAACAAATAAAATGTGGGCCCACATACATTTGATTGAGATAGTTTTTTTTTTTTTTTTTTTAATTTAAATGTTTTCTACAAGGAGATAGCAACACCATGTAGCTAACGTTAGCAATTGTGGCGTAAGTGCCTGAGAAGAGGCTGACTTTAGATCACAACCTAAATTAAAAGTAAAGAAAGGCAATATCTCCTGAATACATTTTGACTAATGTAGACACAGGTAAATAATGAATCTACCACTGAAATCTAGAAAAAGGGCTCAAAAAATAGAAGCATCCAAAAATCTGAAAGAAGTAAAAATGCATAGCAATGACTTATGCTAGCTCTCCTTTCCCTCGACTCCTCCTATTTTTATCTCCAATACACACGTGCAAACACACACACACACACACACACACACAGCACAACACATGGAAACATAAGCATACACTCATCTACTCTAGGAATCAATCATCTCCACAAATGTCATTCATCCAATGAAAAGTCTTTAACAATTTTGAAAGACAATTTATGATCTGCACATCAGCCTTCCATAGACAATGAGCTGTTTCCCATTTCTCTAGAGTCTATCCTCCAGAAAGACCTCCTGGAATTCTGATTTCATCTCCCTACTACATTCATGTTTTTCTAATGTTCATAGCCTCAAACTGCAGGTTTGTTGTTCAGGTCATTAAGTATTTGAATTTTCTATTATTTGTAATAAAAGTCAATCTATTTTCTCAGATGTTACACGTTTCAAACTTTTCAAAAGCTTTCTTTCCCTTTTACAAAATAGCATTATTCGATTGAGTCCTTGAATTTTTTTTTGTTTTTGCATTACTTTTGTCAGTTTGTCAGTTCAGTATCTTAGTCTATGATCTTTTATTCTCTGTTCCCCACATATTTTCTTGATTTGAATTACAGTTTCATGCTCCAGATTGCAAGTCACCACTCATATGCCTCTTCACTTTCTTACCTAGTACCTATTTTGTTTCTTTCACATAAAGCGACATCTTCTGATCTCTTAACTCATTGGAAAGTGAGGCCAGATTGCCACAGTCTGGCTGGGCACAAATGCCGCAGTCTGGCTGGGCACACAATCACGAGCCACCACACAGCTTGTAGATTCAAACAGCAACTCTTTATTCCTGAACTCACACCAGCCGTCTACAATCACACTCTGAGGAAATCCAAGTTCTCTGCCCAAATCCACGTTCTCTGCCCAAAATCACCTCCACTGGGCATCTGTCTCCCAAAAAATATACTGTCTAAATCCCGTGAGAACTCAAGGGGAACTCAGGCAGCAGGATACGCCCTATTCCCAGCAGGAATAATCTTAAACCTTAAACCTGGAACCTAAACTGGGAACGCCCTAAACACGATTATCTTAAACCGGGAACACTCTAATCCGCCTTGGTCCTTGAGCAAGGTCACCTACATTCAATGTCACTGCAACATGTCAGCAACATGGGGTACGCTGGCAAGGAAACTGTCATACCTACTTGGCTAATGGCTCCCAGCATCTCCCCCCTTCTGATTAATTAAACAACAAGCAATGTGGCTTAAGGACCGTGCCTGGTAGGTTGTCCAATTCAACATATGGTTCTTACCCGTCATCGGAAAACTGACCTTTAGGCGTCAGCCTCCTGTCTTAGGTTGATACCACTGCAATTGAATCATACCCGTCACTGACTACCGGTCCAGCATACAGCCATACTTGTGGATAGGTCTATGCACCAGTGGGGGGGGGGGTGAGGTTCTTTGCCTCACCTCTGTTGGCCCCCAAATTTGGCCTTGGTGCCAGTGGGGGAGTGAGGTTAATGTGGCTTAAGGACCTTGCCTGGTAGGTTGTCCAATTCAACATATGGTTCTTACCCCTCATCGGAAAACTGACCTTTAGGCGTCAGCCTCCTGTCTCAGGCAGCAGGATACGCCCTATTCCCAGCAGGAATAATCTTAAACCTTAAACCTGGAACCTAAACTGGGAACGCCCTAAACACGATTATCTTAAACCGGGAACACTCTAATCCGCCTTGGTCAATGAGCAAGGTCACCTACATTCAATGTCACTGCAACATGTCAGCAACATGGGGTACGCTGGCAAGGAAATTGTCATACCTACTTGGCTAATGGCTCCCAGCACCAGATCAATTAGCCCTTGGAAAGGCTGTCACCAAGACTGTCACCTCTTCCTTATTAGCAACTCTTGAGTTGATGAATACTCAGGATACAGTTCAAACACACTCTTTGGCCTCATGATTTCTTCCTGTGCAAAATTCTGTAATATTTTATACAACTGGTGCCTGTTATGCTTTGTCCCTTTCATTTGTGAGTGCTGCCAAGAAAAAACAGAATTTAAAATATACTTTTACCTGTTGATAGATGACCTCTTGAATAGATTTCTTTGGGTTTTTTGTGGAATCTTTAAGCCTAGTCACTTTGTGCTGAAGTGCAATATTTGAAGGCAAAGCAAAGAAAGAGAGGTAGACAGGCTCTGCGTTATCTAAAGAAATAGAAAACAAGTGTCACATGTATAATTGAATTCCACAGCCTCATTGATACCACTAGCATTAACTAATTCTGATAACTGTGACCATCTTTTAATAATTAGTAAAATTTAATATGCTTGTATATGTATATGTATACATCTATATGGGTCTCTCTTTCTCTCTCTCTCTCTCTATATATATATATAGAAAAAACTGACTCTTTCTGAGAGAGAGAGAGAGAGAAAGAGAGATTTATTTGATGAGAAAATGTGTGCATGAGTGAAAAACTACAAGGTAAAGAAGAATCAGACATATATATATATACGACATATATATATATATTTATACACACATGTATACATACATGTGTACATGAGTATATTGTATATCTTCATTATGAGAAAGAAAATTGATTGGCATTAATTTTCATTCAAATAATTCTTTAGACCCATTAAGGTATTGAACAGATTGCTCTAAAATTCAACTAAATAAATACCCAATAACAATGGAAATACAAAGTTTAAAAGAACATTATTAAAAATAGCATTGATAATGTATACATGTGTTAGTAATGAGATAAAATGGGCAGTAAAAAAACAAAAATTATTTCATGGACCTTATGTTTCAGAATTAAAACTTCTTAATCAGGTTTGTGTGACAGACGAATATGCTGAGTCTATAACATATCAAATATGTTTATTTCATCATTTTCTCAATATGATGCTGAATATGTAGACCTTTAGATACTAAGAGGTAATATTGTTTGGGCCAAAATTTCATATGACTGGATTAAAGCTAGGAAGGAGTCAGTTCTTTCAATTAAATAAACAGTCACATGCCTGGCACCCAGAGCCGCATGTTCTAAAGTCCTGAATGAAGACAACAGTCACCAGGTGAAGGGAGGTTATATTAGAGGATGGAGAAAATGTTATCTAAATGCTAAGAAACTGACAGTGGCGGTTAGAAAAAGATGAGTAAAGGAATTTGAAAGTCACTGGTGGAAAACTGGTGGAAACTGACAGTGGCGGTTAGAAAAAGATGAGTAAAGGAATTTGAAAGTCACATATAAAATCTTAGAATCTGACAGGAACCGCATTGAAGACAGCTTTGATCAGAGCAGCTCCAGTCACACTAGGAACTTGGGAGCCTCTGCAGCTTTTTTAAGGGGGGCACTGTTAATTCAAGAATGCAGCCTCATCCCACCCTCAAGTACCATGCAAATGTGGGAGACCTTTATGTTTTGAACAAATGTGTTTTCTATTCATTTCCTCTGGAGAGAGAACTTCTCTGAGTTCAGGGAAAAGCCTCAAGGAAAAGTGGGAGGCACATCTGAAAACCCGGCCCTCCCCCTTCAGTCTATGTTTTATTACACTCAATTTACACACTATTTTAGGAACCAGAACAAAGAGATCTTAATAAGTTCAAATTCTACATGCTCATCATTTCTATGAAATTTCACTCTGCCTTAACGAGACCATTTTCTTCCAGAAAGACCAACCCATACCCTAGGTTCTTTTCAACAAATGGAGCAATGAGCCAGAAGTATCCTGCTTGGTAGTTACACTTAGGTTAATTTATGTTACATCTCTTTTACTACATATCCTAAACTATCATGGTCTATTTTAAACACATGGATATCAACTACTCATGCAATGAATGAGTAGTTGATATCCATGTGTTTAAAATAGAACATTATTAAAATAGGAAAGGTAGTGTTTTAGAATCTCTGCATCTAACTAAAAATCCAGTAGAATATCAACTTCTTAGCAAAGGAATGACATTTTTTAATCTGAGAAAATAACTCTTTTAAGGATAGCTTCCTAAAATCCAAGTAGGCATAAGGCTTATTTCCAACTACAAAAGCAATGTTAATTATTATACCTAGCAGATGAGATGTAGTAAGTGCTAATTTAGCTGTCCCCCTTATATGAGACGTTTTTGTGATGAACTTTACTTATCACAGGATGCAAGAAAAATAATGCTTTACATCTTTCAATTTTTGTCTAAAATGTTATTGATATTTGATAATTCCACAGATTCAGAAAAACTGCTATTTTGAATCCCATTTCATAGATGAAGGCATAAAGGATCAGAGGTGCAAAAGGATTTTTTCCAAGTGTATTGTTCAGTAGGTAACCAAATTGGTACCATGACTACTATCTTTTTATTAGGGTCACTGAGGCTGAATCTACTTTAACACACCAACTTGGAGGCTGCTTCTTCTCCACACAATTACACTTCTTCAGTTTCATTACTATAATGAATTTTCAAATTCAATTATTACATATGCTTTAGCTATCATTTCCATCAGAATCAATATACTTACTTTTTGGAATTCAAAAACTAGAACTATCCTTCAAAGTAATTTGAAAATTCAACATTTTTCTAGCTTATTTATATTTATCAGTGCATTCTATTATCGTTTTGAATCTACAATGTATTGCTACCATTAACAAAAGAAAGGCTTGAAAGCTAATGAAAAAAAATGAGTATTTCAAGTGATTTTCAACAACTTATATGATAGAACACATACTAAGGCCCAAAAACTTTTCCTTGTCTTCTGTAATTAATATGGGTTGATAAGTTGATCAATTTATGGAAAAGATGCAGGATCCAAAAGTAATAAAACTATTAGCAATGCTAGACTCTAGTTTTACTCAAGACTCATTCAGTTGCACAGAATATTGAAATATTCCTCTGTAAACCTTGTGAATAATCCTTTCTTCAATTTCCAAAACCTAAACAAGCATGTGTCAGTTCTTGGAAGCCTTATCAATAGCCTACACTGTCCAGAAGTTTATCTTTCAATATACTGCCTAGAAATAATGTACTCAGCAAACTAAGTACCAGATTAAATCAATATGAGCTAGGAGACTATTGACTTCACCATAAATTCATCTGGATGCTCTACTTTAAAGCACATGTCTTCTTTCACATCTGACCTAAACAGTGTCCCATTTTGTACCTGAACAAATTAATATGTTTTTAAAGAATAATAGACTGATCTTTTTACTTTCTTTTCTTACACAAAAGAATCTAGTAACGTCAAACTAATGTATGGTGTTTAAGTTTAGGAGACAACTTGCCCAATTTTATAACAGGAATTAAATTGAACCAAATCTTTTCTTTTCTAACATGTAATTGAATTAAAATTGGAATCTAGTCCTGGGAGACTATTTTATTGTTCAAAGTAAACCATCTTTTCAGTCTGTTGGACTGATTTACTTTGACATCCAGGCAAGAAAGACATCCATTGAGCATGGTCCACACAATGTCGTTAATACAAAACCTATTTTTAGATGTAAACTACTGCTGTAGTTAAAATGACTCCGAGAATTCTAATTGATAATAAGGATCATGCTCACTAACATTATTTTAGAATTGGCCAATTCGGAAAAATAATGTGAACCAGCATGTGATTATCTATGAAGAATTGGAGCTGAAACTTTCATAAAAACAATTCCCATATTTTCTAATATTTTAATTTTAGAACTGTGTAAAAACAAGTAGAGCAAGCTGAATGGTGACCATGTCCATATCCAAATACTGAGAACCTTTAATCTTATTTTATATGGTAAAAAAAATATGATTAAGTTAAGGATTTTGACAGAGAGACATATTGGATTATTTAGGTGGGCACTAAATTCAAACACACATACTCTTACAACTGAGAATAGCAGAGAGTTGAGAGTGACAGATATTAAAGATGACAGGAAAAAAATGTGTTGATATGTAGATGGAGGCAGAATAGGAAGAGAGGTGACCACAAGCCCCCAAATACCAAGAACAACTACTGACATCAGATGTTAAAGAGGCAGTGGAGCAGTCTCCCACAAAGACTCCTTAAGAAGTTTCCTCCTGCACCTGGATCTTCAGAAATTTAAGAGTAAATTTCTATTAGTCTAAGCTACCAAGTTTATAGTAATTTGTTACAAACTACCCTGGGAGACTAGAACAATAGTGGCGGTATATCATTTTTAAAAGTCATGAACAATCAATTGCACTGTAAGAATTTTCTTCCAGGCACAATTGCTTAAGCATAGCAAGACATACAGAACGTCCAGAGAAAGTCACCAGCAAATGGGGAAATCATTGTACATTCACAACAAAGTACTATTTGACACAAATGCAATAGGAATGAAGCATATCTGAACATCCCAAAATGTAGTGCTTTGACATGCTGAGCTGGAGGATCAATATCTTTCTGACCTCCACTCTTCCACCACTGGCTATTTTTTCTCTTGATCCTCTATTTTCCAAAGGCATGAGGAAAACTGTGTTCTGACATTGTCTTATTGGCCTTGAAACTGGACTTGCCAAAGAGAACACAATTATCTTCTTCTTTCTCCCTAGTATCTAATTATTAATGACAGAAAAGACCACTGAGGAATTTATACCTAGATAGAGTTTTGTCACAAGATGTCTATTTTGGGGGTTCATTCAAATTTCTAAAAGAATCATTTAAAAGCTAATCTGTCTCCCTAACATTCCTCTTTCCTAATAACCATTTACTACCTCTCAAAAAGAATGCAACATTCCCCTACATGTCCCTGTCTATGAGATAGATACCTAAGTGTCCACACCTTACTAATATGGAGGATAATCACACTCCTGGAATTTCCCACTGTTCATGTGAAATAAATTTGTAAGTCTTTTTCTCCTATTAATCTGTCTGTTGTCAGTTCATTCCAGTAAAACTTTGGAAGGAGTAGGATGAGATTTCCCCTCACTTTTGCAGTGTGTGTGTGTGTGTGTGTATAAATACACACACAAGAATATAAATATATATATATATATATATATATATATATATATATATATATATACACTCACAAAAGAATATAATTTATTCAGAACATGCATTAAAAACTACTAATAGCAAGTAGCTTTGAAAAGTTGCTATGTATGATTTGTGCATTTTTGGAATGTTTAAATATTGTAAAATGAATACATCTTATTTTTCTATTAAAAATTTCAGATAAATGCTAAAATACAAAACAGTATGCACACATGT